GCACAAGTATCCCTGGGATCCCTGCACTTCAGAAACAGTAGAAATTAAGAAGTCATTTAAGAGAATGGTCTGAACAATCCCCAAGCTGACTCCTCCTTCCCAGTGGCTCTCCCTGTGCTCTCAATCACAACCCCGGGCAAGGAGGCCAGCAGCTTCTGGCCCGTGACAAGCATTTCCTCTGGGTGGACGTCCCGGGTGCTACAGGAGGAGAACTCATCTTCCCTTTACAAGGGGGGACTTTGGCTTTCTGCCTCGATCAACAGAGCAGCTCACAGGCAGGAATCCAAAGGCAATTTGATGCGGTTTCAAGTACATACTGAACACAGAGGAGCCATAAATGCCTGTGGCATGTTCCTTTCCCCATTTCAGAGCACGCTATTGATTGCTCCACGCAAAGATACAGCATGCCCCTACCTGACCAAGCTCATTATCTTATCTGGAAACACAGGAACCCCTTTCTCAGGCTAGAAGATGACAAATGCCTTCATTTCTCAACTCCTTTATCAGAGCAGTTGGCCAAGCGGATTATTAGTCAATGAATGCTTCATGCTGCTACGTAAGGGAGTTTTTAAATGGTAGTAGTGGATTGCATCTCATCTGCAAGGCAATTATGGAGCCAGATAGGGATAATTTAGGGCAGGACTGCAAGGAAGGAAGAGACAGTAACTGTGTTTTGGGCTCGCTGCTGCATGGAAGACAAATGTGAGGCATAGATATTCCAGCCGAGGTCACTATCTGCCTGCTTCTGGTGGCTGAGGCCGATCAAGAAGGGAATTCCCATATGAAATACCACACACCAAAGCTTAGCTTTGGTTCTCCACTCAGTTAAGACAGGCTTTGGAAGATATCTCTCTCAATAGTGCCATATTTTGCTTTTCCTTGGAGATGGGGAAGAAACAGGGTCCTTTTTGGTCCAGCAGGAGCACATGAAGCTTTGCCCAGACCCAAGTGTCACACCGATTTATCTTTGGAACTGCTGGAATAAGATCCAGTTCCTACTGGAGCTATGGGGACACCATGAGGAACTGGGCTGGCCCTTTTGAAAGACAAGCTAGAAGGCACTTTCCCTGTTGAAATGTCACGTGGGGAAAGCCGTTGGATGGCAGTATGGGAGGAAGGATAAAAACAGACTGAGCTGATAAAACTACAGCTGCTTCCCCACATATGAAACATTTAGTAAGGAGTGGAGAGATTGTTTCCAAAAAGGTGGAGTAAGGCTGTAATTTCTGCCAGTAACATAAAATTTTAGTTCATTCCAAACACAGCTTCATGGAAAAAAAAGAAAGAAAAAAAAATAGTAGCATTTAGTATGCAAAAAGGAGCTGAAACAGAGAAGGGATAAGCTCTTCTTTAGCCTTAATGTCATTGCGAAAGGGATATCTGGACATGTGCCTGCGGAAAGTAGTCCTACCCCCTGCATTGCCTCTGCATTCTTATGTGTTTTCTCAAGAAACAGTCAACATGGCCTGGAACTAGGTCTTGTCTTACTGTTTTTTTGTTGTTTCTGTAGAATAATAGACCCCAGAGAATTGCGTGTCAGTCTTCAGCGATGCTCTGGTTGCAGGCTCTTTGGCCAGAGTCCCAATCTCTGTTCTCTCTTTACAGGAGTTACTGCCAGACAAGTCATATCAGTGATCAGGACTATTTTTGCAATGTATTTTCCCCTTGGCACTTCTTTTACACAGTGGCAAATAGTCCCCAGCCAGTCTCCTGGGAATGTGCACAGGGTTAGGAAGACCACACTGAAAAGGAAGAGAAACTATAGCCAAGGGGAAGGGTGAGGTGAGACACAAAGAAGTGTGAACTTCTAGGAAATGGTTCTGGAAGGTACAAGTGTTGTGGGGAAGGTTCCTCAGCTAGACCAAAGGTCATGTGGGAACCACCATCCTACAAGGATATTAATAAAGTGCTTTTAAAAAGCGGTGGGAAAGGTGAGAATGCAGACCAATGGGGGTCAAGGTAGGGATGGGAACGTGAGCTTAAAGGGGGTTATTTATTCATTTATTTGCTAAAATGAGCGCTTGGTGTGTGAATAACTGTATATAGCCAGCAGTGTGGCTAAAGAGTGGTGCTAATGCATCTGCTCTCCTGGTTTGATGGGATTATTTATTGCTGGTGTTCGAGAAACCTCGTGTGAAGGGCTCAAGGAGCTCTTGTCCTTGACTGCAGTCGGCAAAGGGGGAAGTGCTAAGGACAGCATCGCTGTTGTCTGCTGCTGACCCGCAGGATGCCCCTGTGCTCATATTTACCATTTCCAGAGGTGTGTTGCTCTGGAGACCATGCTGTTGTAGTTGCCTGTGGTTGTATGGAGGGGCTGTGACCTGATAAGTTCCAGCAAAAAGCACAGTTTGGCTCCGTTCTTCCCTCTGCTGCAACGATGGAGGGCCAGAAACATCTCAGAGGGAGGAGGATCAGAAACTGCGGGGTGGAGAGAACTCCTTGCTTGTTGGCATCGTTAATGAGAGAGAATACTTAATGTAATTAGCAATGACTCCTCGGGGGCTTTGCAAGAAACAAATTGGTTCTCTCCACTTGGTGCCTTTGCAGCAGTCTGGGCTTACTGCAGCATCTGCATTCAGGCAAGAAGACCGAGCCTTTGGGTGGTTCCTCTGCTCTGGCAGCCAAGGAGCCACATGGCCATTGACTTTCTTGCCTGCAGACATGACACCAGGCAGCGGAGTGTTGGTTTTAACCCTCTGATGCAACAGATTGAATCTAATAAAACACTTCCATGTTTGTGCCAAAAGCCTAAGCAAGGGAGATTTGCTGTGCATTTGGGCAGTAGGTAGCTGGCCTTTCTAGCCGTTCACCTCAGAGGACTTCCTGATTATCAGAGACGCTATTCACATCTCCCTTGTATCTAGGAAACTCACACTGAGTTTCAGTTTCTGTCCTTCTGTTAAGAATTTGAACACCTAAAATTCTCAGTGAATCTGGAGCCTAAGTGACTTCGCCAACATCATGTACCCAGGCTATCAAACCTGGCCTTAAACTCCCAATCAATGTATTGACTTCCAGGTGTGACATTAAGAGATCTTATGTACTGAAGTTTGTTAATATCCTGAAACATCTGAGCTGTCATTTGGCGTCGTCCAGTGCATTTTGGATAGATCTTGTTTTAACCCAGCATATCGTTCTCATGGCTCATTTTCAGTTGTATGTTAACTTGGTTAAATATATGAAGACTGTGCTGACCTGTTTTCCCCCAATTCTCCACACTCATGTTATTAATCATCACCAAGGCAATCCAGTACCTTAAAGAGATTGTAATGGCATATTCAATGCTAAAATTCTTGAATAGTTACCAAAACACACTAGCTGTTTCAATATGTCACTTTTGGGTAGCTTGAGGAGTTATAGGAGTGTATTTCATCTCTCTCTTCAGAAAGAAAAAGAAGACTGTGCAACTGTTACACATCTTTGATAAAGTGATTTCTAAAGCAGTTAATTCTACTTTCTTATTTTGTTTTCCAGGTCAACAATGCAGTTCTTAGCCTGGCTCAATTTGCTGCTTCTGCTTCCTTGTTTTGGTACCACCAAAACCTGCTTCCCTGGGTGCCATTGTGAGGTGGAAAGTTTTGGCCTCTTTGACAGCTTTAGCTTGACCAAGGTGGACTGCAGTGGAATTGGCTCACACATTGTTCCTGTCCCCATCCCTCTGGATACCTCCTACTTGGATCTATCCTCAAACAAACTGGAAACTATCAATGAATCAATGCTTACTGGGCCTGGATACACCACCTTGGTGAGCCTTGACCTGAGCTACAACAACATTGCTAAGATTTCCTCCACAACCTTCTCCAGGCTTCGGTACCTGGAGTCCTTGGATCTGAGTCATAACTCTTTAGAAGTCCTTCCAGAGAACTGTTTCTCCAGTTCTCCTCTGGGGGATATAGATTTGAGCAATAACAAACTTTTGGATATAACAATGGACGTTTTTGCGCCAAAAGGTCAAGGAAAACCCATGAATGTGGATCTTTCCAATAACATGCTGAGCACAATTACAAGGCACCATGCAAAGAAAGTCCCCAACATCCAGAATTTAAATCTTTCTGGAAACAGGCTAACATCTGTGCCGAATCTTCAGGGGATTCCTCTACGATATTTAAATCTTGATGGGAACCCACTAGTCAAGATTGAGAAAGGGGCCTTCGTAGGACTGAAAGATTTGATTCATTTATCTCTCAGCAGCTTGCATGACTTTAGAGAGTTATCTCCTTACAGTTTCAAGGAACTACCAGCCCTTCAAGTTCTGGATTTATCCAGCAATCCCAATCTGAAGTCATTGAGTGCTGAAGTTACTTTTGGCCTCAACTCCCTACAAGAGCTTAACCTCTCTGGGACAGGCGTGTCATCTTTGCCAAAGACTGTGCTGAAATACCTGCCTTCCATCAAAAGCATCACTTTGGGGAAGAACATACAATGTCTTAAAACCATCAGAGAAGGACAGTACCACCGACAAACTGGGCTGACCAAAAAAGAGGTCCTCATTTGTCATGACAGCCATGGGTCCGTAGCAGCAGCGCCTTATGTTTCATGATGAAAGCTGGGAAGAAGGGTTTGGGAAAGAAAGAGCTGGGAGGGCGAGGGACCACGGGAAATGTACAGGTGTCGGACTGAGATGGTTTGCAGTGTGCCTTTGTAAAACTGTCAATAATTTATATATTTGTACATGCCAGTACTTGATTGTTTGTGGATTTTATAAACTCTCAAATCCCGAAGCCCACATCATTTGCAGGCTCTGGGTTACACCCCGGGTGTTCAGGGCCTACATCCAAACTGCCAACTCAAGAACAGTGTTGCTGGACAACAGGGACCAAGATGCTCTGCAGGTCCCAGGACAGAACAGCTGGTCTGGCGCAAACCTTCACGGACCAGTTACGTTTGCAGGAGCAAAGCTATGTTCTCTCCAGAGGGCACACCAAAACGTACCAACTTTGTAGCTGTTTGCTTGCAAACCCACGCTTTACCCTTTTTTTAAGTATTATTCCTCAAGAAGTGCCTTCCGGATGTTGCCTCTATTAGCAGCACCCTGTTCCTTGTCATGCACTTTCAGTCTGAAGAAGCATTTCCAGACTAACCTGAATACAGGGTGCTCCTAATGCGCTGATTTTTACATGTTATTTGCATAAATGTGCAATGAACATTAAGTAGACTGTTTCTCCCACTTCTTTTCTCTCCATTTTCATATTTCATGGTCTTTTTGTGTCAGATGACTTTAGATCCAACTGTGGCACCCTCCTGTCTTTTTAACCTTCATGAGCCACTGCTCAGCGAGGATGAGTAGCAAGGAAAAAGAAGTAACGAGAGAGCAATCGAGAGAGGAATCTGCCTACAGCTGACAGCTCATCTGGGAACTGCCCTCCCATGAAACAAATTAACTGAGCTGCAAATGAAAGAGATCATGTCACCTAGTTTGGGGGAGAAAAAAAAAAGAAAAAAAAAAAAGAAAAAAAGAAATCAAACTCTCCGTCCTTTCTGGGAAAGCTGGAAGAATACTTGACAAGGATTCTTCCCTTGATGACCTTATCAAACCATGGCAGACCCAGACAACTTTGGAATAAGATATTCTCATGCAGATGTTCCCATCTGAACAGAACATGTGCAACTCAGCTGGGCTTATGGGAAGCAATTTCCAGTGCAGAAATGCTCTCCACAACGTGGCCGGGGAGGAATTAACACTGACGCCTGCAACCCTGGAGCTGGTTGCTTATCATGGGAAGGATCTTGGGGGTTTCTTTTTTTCCAGATTTGTGGTTTTTCTTTCTCTCACACAGCTCCTTGGCTGCCAAAAAGAATCTGATGACAAGTCTGGTCCTCAGAGCTCTCCTTACTTTTCTCCACACTGAAATGCTGGCAAAGCAAAGGGTAGCCCTTCTCATTCTTCATTCTTTCCAGGTTAGGAGAAAGCAATGGAAGCAGCAGGACACAATTCAACCCAGTGGCTTTCAAAGCCTTTGACCTGCAGCTTCTGCAGTGGATGTTGATGTCCAGTCCAAATCTGGCACACTGTTCTGCAGATGGGAAGAGAGCTTATGCATGGGGATCCTGCTTGGATGAGGCTGCAGTTTGGTCTCTATGCACAGGCTTGCATCGGGGTGACCTTGGATGAAATGTTCTCAGCTGGTTTAGGTGGGTCCATGCAAAAGTGACGTGGATGGGCACAGTCGCAGCAGGCGAAGTGAGCATTTGTACACATGCATTTTTGCAAAGAGCAGAAAGGATTAACAGACAGCAGCAGCCCTTTCTACCCATTTATTGCTGCTGTCTCAGTCGCAGCATGAGAATGACACGGGCCTTCCCCCTTCCATGCAAAATCAGCAGCCTCAGCAACAGAGGGGACCTGCAGAGAAGGGACCTGCCCCATGTGGTCTCTTCTGCTGGCCCAGCAGCCTTTAGGCAGCCACAAGTGATGCCTGGAGAGACCACGGGTAGCCAGGATTGGTGCTTGGGGAAAAGATGGAGGGTGCTATGGTCCTACCCTGTGTTGGAGGCCTCTCCGATGGGGCCTCCCATCGAAGCTCAGGCTTCCTCCTCTCACCCTCAAAAGTCTGTTGCTGATGGAAATCCCATTGCCCACAGAAGACCTCGTCAACATGGCTGAAACCTGCTGAGCCTGTGCCAGGGAGCCTGAACCCAGAGTCAATGCCTTAGTTAGTTTGGATATTGAAATCTCTCCCCATGTTTCCATTCATCTCCTTTTTCTGTGGTTTGATCACCGCCCTGAGGGTGGAATTTTGAACCCTTTCTTTCCTTCTAGGACTTCTCCCCCTCCCTCTATTGAGCCTTTGAAATGCTCAACCACCCTTCACGGTCACAAGAAAAATGCTGATTTTCTTAAAAAGGCAACAGGACTGCCTACAGGCAGAGATACAGAGGGGAACAGTAACCAACTGCAGTGCAAGACGGGGGCAGGTTGGCTTGGAAGTGGGGGTGTTTTTTAGTGGCTCTTGCCTTTTTAAGAGAATTCTTTTCTGCTGGCAGAAAACACGATTTTAAGAAAAAAATGTTTAATTTTATAAGTCTGTATGTAGATAAAATCATTACAGGGTTCATATAGAGGCTGTCAAAGTCACTGCCTTGGTGCCGCTGTGGTAAATCTACAACCCAATGTGACAATCCAATTGAGGACTGCAAGATCTCCTGGTGTAATCCCATGCTAGCTGCTCGCCAAGCACGTCTTAGCAAAGGCGAGCAGACACTGTCGTTGTATTAGTTTGTTTTCTACAGAAAATCTCTGCCGCATTGTAAGGCTTTGTGATTACTCACAACGTAATAAAGTGATTCAGAGGAGAATAGCCCCAGATCTCCTGTATTTATTTGCTTAACACTGGGAGGGAGGCAGCGACTGCTGGGTCCAAAGTCTTGTGGTAGCTGAAATATGAGTTGTTTCTGTGCCCTGTATTGCAGCCCCAAGTTGGAGCAGGATTTATCCCACTGCCTCCGAATCCCTGGGCTTCTTGCTGGCAGGATGGTGTGACAGCTTTGCTACGTCTAGACAGACTGACTCAAAGGAAATTATGGACATGTGGCAGTGAGGCAGCCTGGGAATATTTGGAGCAAATTTCCTGCTCCAGAATTTGCTGCAAAGCTTGTTGGATTGGTGGGGAAGCTCTTCTGGGACTTGGCCAGTTTGGGGCTCGCTCCCTTGTGGAGCAGGGGAACAGGGAGGGAGACAGACAAAAGAGATGGTGGTTTCGAGAGGGTTCTATCCTGGAGGTAAAATGTCTGAAGCACCTTGGTCCGAGCTGGATTCTCCCATTTCCTTGGTAAATGTCCTGATTACACAACTCCCTCATGCTTTTTTAGATCCTAGTCCCGCTTATTATTCCTCCACTCCTCTCATCCTGCTAGTCGTTTATTATTTAAATAGTCTATCTGTAGCCATTGGCATGGGAAGAAGTATGCAAGTCTCCATCCATGTGGACATGGCAGAACACGGTGCCCACGGGACACCTGAAACAGTGCAAACAAACCGTCGGGAAAGGGAAAGGCAGTGACTCTGGGCTTGGAAATTTTGATGAGACACTCCGTCCAGCCATATGAAAATGCTGGCAAGTGAGATGGACACTTTAATTAGAGGTTAAGTATTTTTAGAAGCAGGAAAAGCTCAGCAGAGGCTGGGCAGTAAGAGTAGGTTGGGTTAGGAATGGGGGGAGAAGTAGCTGAGCTGGTGTTTTGCTTGGTGCTCACTGTCTCCTGGAGGGATCTCGGCGTCTCACGCTGCTTTCCACTGTGTTGGGAGAGGCAGGTGGGTCCCAGCTCCATCTCAGCCTGTGCAGACACCAAAGGTCTCTTTCTCCATCTGCCTCATGCCCAGGGTTTATGGGACAGCACAGGGCACCTCTTTGGTCAAAAAGATGCACTTCCTAGTATCCAAAACTCCCCTTTCCGTAGGTCTGTAGGAGTTTTTTCTCCCAGTAGTCACTCTCCAGAAGCTCCTCACTGACTGGTTATGTACCTGACTTGACAGCAGCAGTAGGTGCCATCCCTTTTAAAAATGGCTTCTGCTCCATATATTTCCCATTTTGCAGGGGGCTTTATTTCCAGCACATTTGCTCCACACACACGAGCTTGGTTAGGCTGGAAAGCACTGATGCACTCTTGCCATGTCAGAAACTAATGCCACGTGGCTGGTCATAATCCTTTCACAAGCAAAACCAATGTATATTAATATGAAAGTGGTTCAAATGCTTTGACACGACATAGAAGCAGCAGCCCCACTGCACTAGGTGCTATGCACCCTTTGGAAAACCCTGCGTGGTGCAAGGAGATGATGTGGATTTGGATAGCCATAGGGTGCTACAGGCGAGTGTCTCCAGCCTCTACAACCGGTGAACTCAGGAGGATGTCAGCCTTGCAAAGGGACAAACATCCCTCTGGAAACCTTCCCACCACCACTGTGAAGGCCTCTAAGCTTTGTTCCACTCCACATGCCCCTCTCTGCTTCCTCTTTAGCAGTGGATGAATGTCATGGAGCTTTCTGGTAACTGCCTTGGGCCATGCTGGGAATTTTAGCTTGTATTTCAAAGAGATCCATGAACTTTGAACTTCACTTTATTGTAGGTTAGAGGAAGCAGACAGCTTCTTCCTCCCAGAGCCCCTTTTGATGAGAGCTCAGCACATTCGGACGGGGATTACTTGACAATTTCACCAGCACTGATATTGGTGCCAGTATGTTGCAAAGTGGCCTTGTGGAGCTGCATTTCATTCAGAGGGGATTGCAGATAAAGGAGTCCACCCCAAGGGTTTGGTAGAAACACATAATTTTGCTTGTCTGGCAATGCTTGTTTGCTGGTCAAGGTCTCCTCCCTTGTCCACCTTGTCCAGCACTAAGTGCAGGAGGGCTCCTGTAACATCCATTTTGTTCAACTTCACTTAATAAACTGAGGGTCTACAAAGCTCCAAAAGTCCATGGAGCTCTGTTCACCAAGCAGTTCTAAGCTCTTACTTTCAGCAGTAGTGCAGGAGACCATATTCTTTTAAATCTGAGTTAAGGGTTTTTTTAACTTGTGGTTGCAAGAAGCTAAGTGCATATAGTTACACAGTAACTCACAAA